CGCCCCCTTCCACTATCGGCCCTGTGCCTGTGCTTCCGCAGGCAGCCCGTGTTCACATTCAGCTTCTCGGCAAACGTCAGATTTCTTGTCAACATGCTCTGGTTCATCCCCCTTCCTCTTATCCTCAGGGCTGTAACACCAGGCCTGGTTTTCTCCTGCTGGGTGTGTTCCCCTCCAGACAGGCAGCTGCATCACCATCATGACTTAGCCTGCATGTGCAATGAAGTAGAAAGCATTCTTTACCAAATCGAGATTATTTTACAAAATTGAGAGGATTCTACTCGCTTGTCAACATGCTCTGGTTCATCCCCCTTCCTCTTATCCTCAGGGCTGTAACACCAGGCCTGGTTTTCTCCTGCTGGGTGTGTTCCCCTCCAGACAGGCAGCTGCATCACCATCATGACTTAGCCTGCATGTGCAATGAAGTAGAAAGCATTCTTTACCAAATCGAGATTATTTTACAAAATTGAGAGGATTCTACTCGTTCCCCTAATACACCAACCTCTTGAGACAGCTGCAGCTAAGCAAGTCAAAGATGCCCTGTGGTTAAATTCCACAGGAACTACATTGCATTCAGAGCAGGGGTTGCAAAACATTTTAATGGCATGGTCCACTTTGTAATACAAGAAGTATCTCATTGGCAGCTTTCCCATTCCTGAGCTCATTGGCAGCCTTCCCATTCCTGATGGTAGGAATCACCTTTTCTCTCATTCACCATTACTTAAATTCCCTGTAGAAAGGGCAGCAGTTTTGTTATAGGGATGTTAAATATCAGTTAACTGAATAGTCGATTAACCTCATGAATTCTTATTGGTTACTCGACTATTCTATAGTCCCTGGGGGTGCGACCAGCAACCAGCGTGCTCTAGCCCCACTCCTAAGGAGCCCCCCTGCCACTCCGTGCTGCTGCTTTTGTACGGCCGCTTTAAAAAACAGCTCCCCATGCGAACTGGCTGCCTGTCACTCTGCGCTGCTGCCTCTGTCAGGCGGAGGGGGGGTCTGAGCTCCCCGATCCGGTGCAAGTCGGAATTGAGCCGGGGTACCTACCAGCTGAAACACTCTAAATGCAGAGCCACAACAGGGGTAGGTTCCAGACCCAGCGCAAGCCAGGACTGAACTGGGCTGCTGATCAGCCTGCTAGAAAATGTGTAGGGGAGGGGAGGAATCTGTGTAGTCTATAGCATTAACCAATACACTTTTGCTTATTGGTTAATTGACTAAACTACTATATTTCTATTTTGTTGGGAAAGTATTTGCGTACTTTTTTGCTATCATTATGCCAGGCATCTGCAAGTATCACCGATTTCCAGTCTTTGCACTGATAGATCTGAAGTCATATACAGGCAGTTTGGAAAAAGAACGAAAGCAACTATGTTACTAGCCAGTGAAACCTCCTCAGAGCACCAATGGTCAGAGGACCACACTTTATGAATTGCGATTTAAGTATTTATTCTGTTTATAAATCTATTCTGCTCTCCATCCACTCACTGTTCCTTCATGAAGGAGGATGTATTGCTTTTAAGACAGTCATCATGCATACCATCATTGTTTTAAAACCATGTAATGGCAGTTCCTTCCCCCTGTAATAGGTTAACCAGTTAACCAATTAAAGGGATTTGATATCCCTAATTTGAATCACCAAAGCTTTGTACTGTGTACACTAGTTGTCTGTCAGCCAACCATTTTTAAACATGGGTCTGAAAAAACTGTCATGCCATCCCATAAATTGGGTATATCTCTGTTATATAAACAATTCACTAATAAGACTAGGTTATGAGAATCATAGAATCATAGAATAATAGAACTGGAAGGGACCTCGAGAGGTCATCGAGTCCAGCCCCCTGCCCTCAAGGCAGGACCAAGCTCCGTCTACACCATCCCTGACAGATGGCTATCTAACTGTTCTTAAATATCTCCAGAGAGGGAGATTCCACCACCTCCCTTGGCAATTTATTCCAATATTTGACCACCCTGACAGTTAGGAATTTTTTCCTAATGTCCAATCTAAACCTCCCCTGCTGCACTTTAAGCCCATTACTCCTTGTCCTGTCCTCAGAAACCAAGAGAAACAAATTTTCTCCTTCCTCCTTGTGACACCCTTTTAGATATTTGAAAACCACTATCATGTCCCCCCTTAATCTTCGTTTTTCCAAACTAAACAAGCCCAGTTCACGAAGCCTGGCTTCATAGGTCATGTTCTCTAAACCTTTAATCATTCTTGTCACTCTTCTCTGTACCCTTTCCAATTTCTCCACATCTTTCTTGAAATGTGGCGCCCAGAACTGGACACAGTACTCCAGCTGAGGCCTAACTAGTGCAGAGTAGAGCGGCAGAATGACTTCACGAGTTTTGCTTACAACACACCTGTTGATACAACCTAGAATCATATTTGCTTTTTTGGCAACAGCATCACACTGTTGACTCATATTCAACTTGTGGTCCACTATGACCCCTAGATCCCTTTCCGCCATGCTCCTTCCTAGACAGTCGCTTCCCATCTTGTATGTATGGAACTGATTGTTCCTTCCTAAGTGGAGCACTCTGCATTTCTCCTTATTAAACCTCATCCTGTTTACCTCTGACCATTTCTCTAACTTGCTAAGGTCATTCTGAATTATGTCCCTATCCTCCAAAGAAGTTGCAACCCCACCCAGTTTGGTATCATCTGCAAACTTAATAAGAGTACTCTCTATCCCAATATCTACATCATTGATGAAGATATTGAACAGTACGGGTCCCAAAACAGACCCTTGAGGAACTCCACTTGTTATCCCTTTCCAGCAGGATTTAGAACCGTTAACAACAACTCTCTGACTACGGTTATCCAGCCAATTATGCACCCACCTTATCGTGGCCCTATCTAAGTTATATTTGCCTAGTTTATCAATAAGAATATCATGCGAGACCGTATCAAATGCCTTACTAAAGTCTAGGTATATGACATCCACCGCTTCTCCCTTATCCACAAGGCTCGTTATCCTATCAAAGAAAGCTATCAGATTAGTTTGGCATGACTTGTTCTTCACAAACCCATGCTGGCTATTCCCTATCACTTTATTACCTTCCAAGTGTTTGCATATGATTTCCTTAATTACCTGCTCCATTATCTTCCCTGGGACAGACGTTAAACTGACCGGTCTATAATTTCCTGGGTTGTTCTTATTCCCCTTTTTATAGATGGGCACAATATTTGCCCTTTTCCAGTCTTCTGGAATCTCCCCTGTCTGCCATGATTTTTCAAAGATCATAGCTAAAGGCTCAGATACCTCCTCTATCAGCTCCTTGAGTATCCTGGGATGCATTTCATCAGGACCTGGTGACTTGCTGACATCTAACTTTCCTAAGTGATTTTTAACTTGTTCTTTGTGTATCCTATCTTCTAAACTTACCCTCTCTCTGCTTGTATTCACTACGTTAGGCACACCTCCAGACTTCTCGGTGAAGACCGAAACAAAGAAGTCATTGAGCATCTCCGCCATTTCCAAGTTCCCTGTTACTGCTTCTCCCTCCTCACTAAGCAGTGGGCCTACCCTGTCCTTGGTCTTCCTCTTGCTTTTAATGTATTTATAAAAGGTCTTCTTGTTTCCCTTTATGCCTGTAGCTTTCTAATCTTGCCCCTGCATTCCTGTGTTGCTTGCCTATATTCATCCTTTGTTATTTGTCCTAGTTTCCATTTTTTATATGAGTCCTTTTTTATTTTGAGATCATGCAAGATCTCCTTGTTAAGCCAAGCTGGTCTTTTGCCATATTTTCTATCTTTCCTACACAGCGGAATTGTTTGCTTTTGGGCCCTTAACAACGTCCCTTTGAAATACTTCCAACTCTCCTCAGTTGTTTTTCCCTTCAGTCTTGCTTCCCATGGGACCTTACCTACAAGTTCTCTGAGCTTATCAAAATCTGCCTTGAGGATATTTTTCATCCAGTATAAAGTATCTGAGGAAAACCATCTAAATGTTTTGTTAGTCTATAAAGTGCTACCAGACCATTTGTTGTTTTTTTCTGTAACAGACTAACTTGGCTACCCCCTGAAGCTGAAGAAATAGTGTTCTAACTTGTAGCCTAGCTTTGGGGACTCTATATAGCAGATTTCAAGTAGTGTATTAGCTGAAATATTGCTAGTTCTTAGAGCAGCTTTTTTCAGTCTTCAACTGCTGGTCTCTGCAGAATAGGCTGG